TGAGCATTTATAGTGTGCCCTGAAAAACTCCTAAATCGTGGAGTTGCCTTTCTTTCTTTCTTTTCTTTTTTTTAGATATTATTTTGCGTTGAGACAGTTTTTCTTCTTCACTGGGGTGATATTGTTTCTTCCTCTGCTTGTATTATTTTTTGTTTCAGTCTCTACAGGTGCCAGGGGAGACCGCTAATCTGCATAATCAGACAAGTTAGGTCAGTGTTCCCTTTAATCAAGAACAATTCCTATGCGTTTAGATTGTTTTCTGCCATATGAACATCCAGAGCCCTCCTGCTCTCTCTTGGCCCCAACAAGTCACAGTGTTGCCCCAGTGGATTAGGAATTGAACTTCCTCAGAGACAGGGTCTTCTGCAGCTCCAGGACAGGAGTGACAGGGACGATCCACACACCCCTGTGAGCACCGCTGTGTCCCAGGGAGTGCTGCCCTGGGCTCCACAGCACACTTCCAGGGGTCCTGGTGACAATACCTTGTGTCTTGTCCCCCAGAGGCAGGGCTTGGGGAGTCGTTTTCTCTGGCTGAGTGTCAGAGGTTCACCACATTTCTGCTGCACACTTTGGTGATGGCTGTTCACTGGACAGACAGTTATGCTGGTCAGCAAGATGGGCACAGTGATTGTGCCTCAGTGGTGGCAGCAGGAGTTGGTGGCACCCTTCATGTAGGCCTTGTACCTGATTTCTTATTTTGATATGAATTTAAATACATACAGAAATTAATTATTTTCCTTTCGTTCTATTCTTTTACCACCTAACTAATGCTGTAGAACATCACATGAGGAAGACCATGCTGACCTGCTGGCTCATGTGGATTCCCTCTTAGCTACTGACTCCCCCCAGAAAATGTGCAGTTCTGTGATGAGGGGATCAGCTCTACCTGAGGTCACTAGTGTGATGACAGAATTGTCCAAACAGACACAGTTTAGTGTCAGCATTGGTTTAACTTTGTCTTTGCAGATTTCAGTTTATCTTGTTAATTGTGGGATTTCTTAAATCTTCCACACAGATCCCCCAAAGACACATGTGACCCATCACCCAACACTGAAAGGAGACATCACCCTGAGGTGCTGGGCCCTGGGCTTCTACCCTGCTGAGATCTTCATGACCTGGGAGAGGGATGGGGAGGAACAGACTCAGGACATGGAACTGGTGGAGACCAGGCCTGCAGGGGATGGAACCTTCCAGAAGTGGGCAGCTGTGGTGGTGCCTTTTGGGGAGGAGCAGAGATACACATGCCATGTGCACCATGAAGGGCTGTCTGAGCCCCTCACCCTGAAATGGGGTAAGGAGGGTGTGGGTGCAGAGCTGGGGTCAGGGGAAGCTGGAGCTTTCTGCAGAATCTGAGCAGGGTCAGGGCTGACAGCTGGGTTCATGACCCTCACCTATTTTCCTGTCTTTCCCTTCCCAGAGCCTCCTCAGTCCACTGTCCCCATCATGGCAAACATTGCTGTTCTGGTTCTCCTTGGAGCTGTGGCCATCATTGGAGCTGTGGTAGCTGTTGTGAAGATGAGAAGGAGAAACACAGGTAGGAAAGGGCAGGTCTGGTTCTCTCCCAGCCCCTTTTAGAAGTGTGCTCTGCCTCACTAATGGGAAACATCCACACCCCTCATTGCTCCTGTCTCTAACCTGGGTCTGTGGTCAGTTCTGGAAACTTCCTAGGGTCTGGGTCTTCCCTGGTCTCTCACAGATTTTTTCTCACAGGTAGAAGAAGAGAGAACTATGCTCCGTTTCCATGTAAGTGTGGGAAGCAGGATTGTCCCTGAAGCCATTGAAGTGACTGGAGATTTTGATGAGTTCTGGCAATCCATGATAGCTCCTTCAGGGAAATCTTAGGGGCCCTGTTTTTATGCTCATGAGTATGTGTGTGTGTGTGTGTGTGTGTGTGTGTGTGTGTGTGTGTGTGTGTGTGTATGTGTGTGTGTGTGTGTGTTACTCTGGGTAGAGACAGTGGCCAGAGCTCTGATGTGTCTCACTCAGGCTGTAAAGGTGAAACTCTGGGGACCTGATTTGGAGAGGGAAAGTGGACATGATTGGGGTTCAGGGACTTCCAGAATCACCTCTGAGTGAGTGGTTGGTTTTGGGATGTTGTCTTCAGAGTGATTGTTCATGACTCTTGTTTGTAGTGTGAAGACAGCTGCCTGTCCTGACAGAGTGACAGAGATGTGCTCAGGTCTCTCCTGTGA